TATCTGAGTGTTTATGGCGTTAAGTGTTGTTGTTGTACTGTGAACTTTACGGAAACCATGCTGGTGCTTCGCTGGGGTCAGGTGGTTCGTGAAATACGGGAGCAGCAGGGCCTCAAGTGTCTTCGCTACCGGGGAAAGGAGCGTTATCGGTCGATACGAATCTCCTTTGTTGGCAGGTTTCCCCGGTTTGAGCAGTGGGACCACTCTCCCCACCTTCCAGATGTCTGGGACGATGAGAGTGGCCGTAGACAAATTGAGGACCTCCGTTAGGTACGCTACTCCCGCAGGACTCAAATTTTTCAGCATCAGCATGCATATTCCGTCGGGACCCATGGCTTTGGAGGCTTTCGCCTTCCCGATGACCACCTGAACTTCACGGCAAGTGAGAGCAAGGGGGGCACAATTTGCTGGCAGTTTGTGCAGCCTTCTGGTCACTCGACGCTTGGTTTTGTCCACCGGAGGATGCAGTATGCGCTACCGGCTAAAGTAGCTCGCGCATCGCTCCGGGTCTGACGAGGCATGGTCGCCGAAAGAAATTTCAAGTCTGTCGTCGTGCTTCGTCGGATTGGACAGTGGCCTCACGGTTGACCAAAGCTTACTCACACCAGAGGTGAAGTTACAGGTCTTCAGATGTTCTTCCGCTTAAGTACGTTCACTAGTTGCCGAATCTCCGCGTTGAGATCCCTGATACGGGGATCACCGGGATCGGCCTGACGAAGGCTGTCACGCTCATCGGACAGCCGCTTCGGCAGGGAAATTTGGACGTGGGTCAGTGATGCATCCTGCCGGTACGAAGCGGGCTGCAGCAGTGACAGCCCTGCGGAACTAACGTTCATCAAGGTGGACGTCGGTTGGTGTGGGCAGAGCAGCGAAGGTGTTTTCAGTAAATTCCGCGAAGCCTTTCAAATCAGCTTTGGAGAAGTTGATATATGTTCGGTGCTCCGCGGAAGCAAAGTCAGTTCGTTTATCGATCGAGATGACTGGGCAGATGGTCTGATGCCAAAGTCAGCATAGGTCGCCATGATATGCTGTTTATCAGACCAGCGCTGACTATTGTTATGTCTGGCGAGCTGCAGCAGCAGCCCATAATCCTGGTGGGTGCGTCGTCGTGAACATTTCCTTACGCTGCAAGATTTGTTGCAATGATTCTTGTGAGGTACAAGTGGTTGTATCAAAAGTAACGAGTAAAGTAACGATACGAAAGATACGGGTGTTGATTGGATTAGTAACGAATACATACGGGTATCCAAATTTTCGTTACTTTTACAGCTCTATCATGGTGTAATAATAGGTGTGTATCACGATTGAGAGAAATAGAGATTGCGCCAATCGCGGTACCGCTAATCCGCTCTTTGTGATTTTGACAGAATCAGCTGTGTGCGTGACGTCATCTTGGTGCAATTGTTGATTGTGAGTATACGAAAAAACCAAATAACAATTTTAATATTTGTACGTTAATATTTCTGCGTGGTTTTAAACAATTATTGAGACATTACATAGCAAAATGAAGTGTGCCGTGGCAAAGTGTAATAGTGAAAACAAAAGGAAAGCGTGCGATATAAGTTTTTTTTTTTTCGTTTCCTACGGACGCAAATTTGGCGAAAAAGTGGAAGCAGTTCTGCCGGCGAGGAGATGCATTAAACACCAAATAGAGCTATGTGTGCATGAAGCACTTTACTAGTGAAGACATTGAAAATAATACACAGTTCTAAATGGGTAACATATTGTGTATTTTCATATTAATTGCATTTGATATTGTTTTGTAAATGCCTTGGGTTTTGCAAAACTTCGTCGTTTAAAACGTGGTGCGGTGCCTACCATTTACGAAGATAATCTGGGGGATTCCCAGCGTACGGAAAGACCATTAAAAAAACATTTAGGTGATGGCATAATTCCACCATGCATTTAGATGTATTTTGTTGCTTCTGGTATCTAAGGTGTATCATTTATTTTTAAATATAAGAAGTGGGCGATGTGAAATATAAATTTGGCGATCTGCCGACATACCTAAACAAGAGCGTTTTCTGACGCCTTTGCGTTATAGCTCAGTTATGCATACTTTGCACTGCACTGCATAGAATGTCATTTTTACGTAGAAATAACAAACCGACAGACTTCCACATACCTACATAATTCCAAGGCGAATTTATATAAGATGGTATCGATTCAACAATTACTTGTATTTTGTTTTTGCTTTTAGCGGGCCATTGCTAAAAATCAGTTATTGTTT